GTTTAGAACAGATTATGGAGCTAGCCCAACGAATTGAGGAGAAAAATCTGATGTTGCAGGCCTGTTTTGGCAGACTTGACCCAATAAGAAACAAGGTCATTTCTAATCCAAATTGGCAAAATCCCCAACCCCGACAGAAAATTTACAACAGCCCAAGCATCAATTCGCGAGCCATGATGTCGATCGAGCCCAGAAAACCCCTTCGTACAGATGCCGCGACTTCCAATTTTAAAAAGCTCAGTGAAGCAGAGCTCAAGAGCAAGCATGAGAGAGGACTTTGCTTCTGCTGTGATGAGAAATATTCTATTCGGCACTAATGTAAGTACAAGGAATTACAGGTTTTGCTGGTTCATGATGAGGAGGTAGATGAGGGGTTGGAAATTGAGGGGTTGAGCGATGAATTGGCTGAAGGAAGGCAGACCATTACAGGTGAAGTGGTGGAGTTGTCCATGAACTCGGTGGTAGGACTCACTCTGCCTCAAACCATGAAGGTATAAGGGAAAATTTCAGGTCAAGAGGTGGTAGTACTAATTGATTGTGGAGCTAGCCACAATTTTATTTCGGCTGGACTCGGCTGGATTAGTACAGAAGTTAGGTTTACCAAGAACAGATACAATTGGATATGGGGTGATTATGGGTACAGGTATGGCGGTGCAAGGAGCAGGGGTGTGCAAAGGAGTGCATCTATCTCTCCAAAACATTGAAGTGGTTGAAGATTTTCTTCCATTGGACTTGGGGAGTTCCGACGTGATTCTAGGGATGAAGTGGCTATCCTCATTAGGGCCAACAAAGGTTAACTAGAAAAATCTTACAATGAAATTCTAGGTTGGCGGTAATACCATGAATTTGCGAGGGGATCCAAGCTTGAGTAAGACTTTAGTCACCTTGAAAGCTATGATGAAAGCATTCAAGGAAGGTGGTGAAGGTATGCTTCTTGAATTAGGCAGTATGGGAGTCGAAGTTGGAAGAGAACATGGTGAGCCACCAGCAGAAATTGTAGAGGTGTTGAGTGAATTTGGGGAGGTTTTTGAAGAACCTAAGGGGCTGCCGCCACAACGAGGCAAGGATCATGCCATCCACTTGCAACCAGGAACAAGCCCGATTAGTGTGAGGCCATATCGCTACCCACATGTCCAGAAAAATGAGATCGAGAAATTGGTAAAAGTGATGCTAGCTGCCGGAATTATCAGGCCAAGTACCAGTCCATTTTCGAGTCCAGTATTATTAGTGAAGAAAAGAGATGGAGGGTGGCGCTTCTGTGTAGATTATAGAGCCGTAAACAAGGTGGTGGCGATACCTGATAAGTTTCCCATTCCGATGATATACGAACTGTTGGATGAACTACATGGAGCGACGATCTTCTCTAAGCTCGACTTAAAGGCTGGCTATCATCGAATTCGGGTCAAACCGGAGGATATCTTGAAGACAGCGTTCAGAACACACGAAGGGCATTACGAGTTCTTGGTGATGCCATTCGGGCTAACAAATGCACCCACCACATTTCAGTCACTGGTGAATGAAGTGTTTAAAGAACAGTTGAGGCGGTTTGTTCTTGTGTTTTTTGATGATATTTTGGTATTCAGTCGAAGTCTAGAGGATCATGTGAAGCATTTGAGGGAGGTCTTGCAGCTGTTGAAACAACATCAATTGTACGCCAATTGCAAGAAATGTAGCTTCGGTCAACCAGAAGTAGAATACTTGGGGCACTGCATTTCATACCGAGGTGTGGCCGCAGATAAATCGAAGATTCAAGCTATGGTAGACTGGCCTAGTCCCAACTCATTGCGAGAGTTGAGGGGATTTTTGGGGCTCACAGGATATTATCGCCGTTTTGTGAACGATTATGGTAAACTTGCATGGCCATTAATAGAAAGGTTACGCAAGGATAATTTTTTCTGTGATGAAGAAGCAGATCAAGCATTTAAAACACTAAAAACTAGGGATGGCAATCGGGCTCGCCGGCTCGGGCCGCCCGTGGCTCGGCTCGGGAAAAGCTCGAGCCGGCTCGGCTCGAGGCTCGGTAGACCCGAACCTAAGCTCGGGCCGAGCCCCATTTTGGGGACACGGGCTTTGCCCGAGCCGGCCGGTGAGCTCGCGAGCTTTTTAATAAAAAAAAAAATTATATTTAAGGCAAAACTGCTGCCTTTTAAAGGCAGCAGTTCGCTGCCTTAATTTAAGGCAGCAAGCTGCTGCCTTATAGGCAGCAAAACTGCTGCCTTTTAAGGCAGCATGAGGTTAAAAAAAAAAAAAAAAAAGAGGGAGAAAACGAGCCTGCCCGGCTCGGCCCGTAAAAGCCCGAGCAAAAGCTCGGGCCGAGCCTATTTTTTTGGCCGAGCTTTTGTTCGGCCCGACTCGAGCCCGCAAAAAAGCTCGGTTATTTTAACCGGGCCGAGCCCGAGCCGAAACTTTAGGCTCGCGAGCCGGCTTGGCCCGGCTCGTTTACATCCCTACTAAAAACTGCCATGACATCAGTACCAGTCCTCGCCCTTCTGGACTTCAACCGTCCCTTTATAGTAGAGACAGATGCTTCAGGCTTTGGCTTGGGGGTTGTACTAATGCAAAACCAACATCCTATTGCGTACTATAGCTGTGTGCTCAATCCAAAGGGGAAGGCGAAGTCAACTTATGAAAGGGAATTGATGGCGATCGTGTTTGCAATTCAAAAGTGGAAACACTACTTGCATGGTCACAAATTCTATGTGCGAATGGATCAAAAAAGTTTGAAATTCTTATTGGAGCAACGAGAAGTAAACTCGGAATATTAGAAGTGGCTACTTAAATTAATGAGTTATCAATTCGAGGTTCAATATCGGCTGGGAAGGGAAAACAAGGCTGCTAATGCCCTTTCCTGTGTTAGCTCTTCCACCGAGTTAATGACAATGTCGGTTCCTGCAGTAGTACAACTAGACACTCTAGCAAAAGAGGTTCGGACGAACTCACAGCTACAAACTATTATTCAAGAACTCAAGCAAGATCCTTCTAGCAGGCTAGATTTTGCTCTGGTAAATGGCCAGCTGTTGTTTGAAGGACGTTTATTCCTGCCCAAGGGGTCATCATTGATCCCATTGATGTTACAAGAGGGTCACGACAGCAAGATTGCTGGACACTCTGGCTTTCGAAAAACTTATAGTCGTATCGCTGAGAATGTCTATTGGGAGGGGATGAAAGCTGATATTCAGCGTTATGTGAACCAATGTGCAGTTTGTCAACAAAACAAGTATATTACACTATCACCGGGAGGCTTGTTGCAACCTCTTCCGATTCCTAATCAGGTTTGGGAGGACATAGCAATGGATTTCATTGAAGGACTACCGAAATCAAGCAACATGGATACAATCTTAGTAGTGGTGGATAGATTAAGCAAGTATGGGCATTTTATAGGGCTTAAGCACCCTTTCACAACGGCAAGTGTGGCTGAAGTTTTTGTTAAAGAGGTGGTGTGACTACATGGGGTACCTCGCTCCATTGTATCAGATAGAGACAAGATCTTAGTCAGCAATTTTTGGGAGGAATTATTTCGTTTGCAAGGTACTAAGCTCAATCGTAGTACTGCTTACCATCCCCAATCAGATGGACCTAAATTGCACCCTAGAAACATATCTTTGCTGTTTTGCTTCATCACGACCCAAATCTTGGTTCAGCTGGTTACCTTGGGCCGAGTTATGGTATAACACATCCTTCCATACAGCAAGCAAGACGACTCCTTTCCAGGTCGTCTACGGGCGCAAACCTCCTGCTCTACTGAAGTTTGAAAAAGGATCCACCCCAGTTTCAGCAATAGAGCAGCAACTCCTTGAAAGGGATCAGGTTTTAGAGAAATTGAAAGCACAATTATTGCAAACTCAAGCAAGGATGAAAGGCATAGCTGACCGCAAGAGAAGAAATGTTCAGTTCGAGGTTGGAGATCTTGTGTACTTGAAGATTAGGCCGTATCGTCGCAAATCCTTAGCTGCGCGACCTAACGGGAAGTTAGCACCATGGTTTTACGGTCCGTTTGCAGTTGGTCAGAGGATTGGTCAGGTTGCTTATAAGCTAATTCTTCCTCCAACATGTAACATTCATCCTGTATTTCATGTATCCCAGCTACGTAAGACAGAAGGGGCTGTGCAGGCCGTGAAGGAACTACCTAGCCAATTGAATGAGGAGTTGGAAATGTTGGTTGAGCTAGAAGCATTACTTAGGGTGCGACCTGGCTTGGGAAGCAACATTCGAGGCTTGGATGTTTTAATACAATGGAAAGGACTACCACACTTGAGGCCACGTGGGAGCCTTACGACGTGATCAAGCAACAGTTTCCTTCCTTTCACCTTGAGGACAAGGTGAAACTTATGGGGGGAGGTAATGATAGACCCGCAATCCATGCAACTTACCAAAGGCGCGGGAATTAAGGAAAAGCAGATTGTATAATTTCAGCACCAAGATTGCATAATTCCAGCACCAATTACATAATCCCAGAACCAGTCACTTAATTTCAGCAGCACCGATTACTCAATTACAGCAATAATTAGGGAGGAAAACCACATATAAATGAGGGGAATGAGCACGTTACTAGCATCCAGAAAATTGGGAGATTCCTTGGGAGAGTGTGGACCTCTCGAATGTCCATTGATCTTATTAATTTTTCTTTTTATTATTGAATAAAGAATCTGCTTATCTTATAGCAGGTTCATTCCTTTGTAATCTCTATTTTAGCGGCGGAAATTATCATAATAAAATTCTTGTCCTATTTGGATCTATCAGACAACACCTTCAAAAACAGGAACAGTATATTAAGGTTCTAATCAAGTCAAAAATTATAATTTCAGCAAAACAATTTAAGACAGTAAAATTTTATCAGAAATTTTTTAGATGTTATTACCGCAGAAAATACTGAATTTTTCATGTTTATGCAAATATGAATCAGCCTCAAAGTATTATATAATTTTTTTTTTAGAGGAGCAAAATTTACAAAGACTAAGAATCCTGATGAAAAAATGAAGAGGGGGAGAAACTGGACATACTTTGCCCCGATAGAATCCATGGTGCAAATGAAGGGTTTATCTTCGTCTGCCAATCCAGCAATTACAGGTTGACAGAAGTACGGACCAAATCTAAACCACAAAAAGAAAAAAATGAAGCAAGTCATCCTCTCCATAAATGATTAACTAATTTTTAAAACATGTATGAAGTGTAAGATTTCTTATAACATAATGGCATGATATAATCCACATGTTCATACACAACAAGAAGAGGAAGAGGAACGGGAACGAGGAAATAAAAATAAAAATTTAGTAACTTAAGAAGAAAATTATAAAACAGTCTTCAGTTACATCTTCCATAAACCTGCATAACTTATCTCTATGATGTAGCTGCTATGAGTTATTATAGTCTTTTATCGCCATTTGCTTCCATATTTAGCAGTAAACCAACCAGTAGGGTAAGCAATGCATGATTTTTCAAAACAATGGATGCAATACAAAAAAGAAATGATGCACATACTTACTACATTTTCTGAGAGCCTTTTGATATGTAGTAGATGCATGAATTAGGATATAGAACAGACCCAAAAATTTCTATTGTTATTAATTTTAATCATAAACCAGAAAATTTATAAGTAAAAGAAAGCATGCACTATATACAGCCAAGAGCAGAACATCATATGCAAGTTCCACATGAAACTACATTGTATATTTGCTCAGAAACAGAGGTTGCTTAACTCCACCTTAAAGTTCCTCAACCCACTGGTATGATCCATTAAACTAGGTTGCAGTTTATGTGAACTTGTATATGGCATTTTCCCATTCAAGGTCTCCTGTTAAACCATTCTTTTTTTATAAAATTATTTCAAAGCAACAGCAATTTATTTTTTAACTGCACAGCCGTCAAGTGTACCAAGATAAGTAGTGTGTTCATGAGCAAATCAGAGACATTCGCAATTTACCAACCTTTTCTCGTAAAGAATAGCAGATACGAGGCTAGCAAAAGTCTCAGGCTTCATGTTCCTCTCTTCTCTAAGCTGATATAACTTGTAACGAAAAACAAGCCGTTGATATCTTCAGAAAGTTCAAAGAAAAAAAAAGGGAAATCAGTAATCCCACAAAGTTCATAAAAAACCAATCTAAAATAAAGAAGCACCAGTAAAGAGTAGATAATTTCCCTAAATTCATACATTAGTTATACTTAAAAGTGTGCATTTAAGTCTACCACATCATATTGCATATTTGCATACAATCCTTCAGAGTTGTATCTCTCCCTAATAAGCAAGTGTAATGCACTACATATTTACAAGATGTGTCAACAGCTTTGAACAACATAATGTGCATCATATTCATCCTTCGGAGTTTGAAATCATGAAGAAAAATGTTCCTTTTAGTTTTTTGTCAATAAGCTTGTACATGTTTTATTCTTCTTGTCTCTCTTTGTATACATACAAAAACACATTACTCAAACCACATAAATCCATTTATTACCTTCACTTCCTTCCATTTCATTATTGTCCAATTCACTATTATTTAATGAACATATGTTTTGGGAAGAATTCCAAAAACTAAGACAAGAGAAATTCTTCATCATTAAACAAAAGGCAAGTTTTGGATTATGAATGATTGAGTGAACAAAGAAGGCATCTGAGAAATTTTCAAAGGAAGGTGAGTTTTCTTTTTCCTTCATTATTTTGGTCCGTAACAAATTTCCTCATCTGGCAAATCATGCCAAAGATATCATAGCTTTGCTATAATTGGAATATGTTTATCGACATAAACATCAGTATATAATGGACACTGGTTTTGAACCACATAGTCGGACGCAGAATGCCACTCAAACTCTGTACCTTTCTCTAATGGTATAACTATGGATGTTATAAAAAAAATAAAAGCAAATTGCATGTGAAGCTTCAGAATTCTTATCTCCTATAATATATATCCGTTGGGTCTTCCAATATCAATAGGTTGATTGTTTCGCTCCCGTATCTTCCAAAAGGAAAAAAGATCTTTGAAAGTTGTTTCCTGAATCCGAAAGAGAGTACTTGGGTTTTCCCAATAACTAAAAAGTGTAGCATGCCTGAATCTAACTGGGGTTCGCGGTGGTAGAGGAACTAGATCGGAAAAAAGAGGGATTCTAGTTGTAAGATATCTAATGAAACCGTCGTTGGAATTGAGATCTTATTCAAAGAGAAAGATATCAAATATCTGGAGTTTCTTTTTGTATCTTATATGGATGATCCGATCCGCAAGGACCATGATTGGGAATTGTTTGATCGTCTTTCCCTGAGGAAGAGGCGAAATAGAATCAACTTGAATTCGGGACCGCTATAAAAAATCTTAGTGAAACACTGGATTTCTTATCTCATGTCTGCTTTTCATGAAAAAATACCAATTGAAGTGGAGGGCTTCTTCAAACAACAAGGGGCTGGGTCAACTATTCAATCAAATGATATTGAGCATGTTTCCCATCTCTTCTTGAGAAACAAGTGGGCTATTTCTTTGCAAAATTGTGCTCAATTTCATATGTGGCAATTCCGCC